AAGTAATAAAAATATACTTGAAGTAGAGCAAAAAAGTTCCTCTGATTTAATGAAAGGCGTAAAAGATGTAAATCTTACCGAAACATTACTGGAGCCAGGAGTGGTACCATAGCCACTGGATGGTAGACTAGCCACGGACCACCGTCTCCCGTCCGCAGAGTTGGTGGCGCCTCCACCGATCCTGCTTTTCAAACCGAAACAATAACAGCATGGCTTTACAATTAATTACTACTGCAACTAATACTACATTAGTAAATTAATTTTCATTAAATTAAGCAATACATGTCTTTAACGGGTGGCAGATCTATCAAAGATACCTTTTTATCGGGACGAAGACAAAGTGGGGACTGGACGACATCCTGGGGCTCTCTAGAGGACTTCCCACAACCGGAACAAAAGCTGGTACGAAGAAATGAAAAAATTTACAGAGATTCGTTACAATGAAAGTTTTAAAAATACTAGAAACAAGAGCAGCAAGTTGCTCTATAAAAAGCAAGAGTCAATCAATTAATCAATCGATCGTTCATCGAGATAAAAAAATATAAGATAATCTGCTGTTCGGTTTTACTGCCTTGTCCAGCATCTATGAATTCGCGCGTCGTCAAAGGTTCGTCGCTTTTGCTACCAGTCGGTGAGTCCTTCTCTTCAGCTATTCTTGGCAACTGACTCGAGTTCGACATTGAGATCGGCACGTTCGCTATGTTAATCGAAATCCCAAGGCCGAGCTTCGAATAGTCGACGATTGACTTCTGCTGCTCCGATTTTTTGTCCAGTTTATTATTACTGCTATTACTGGTATTGCAGCAACTAACACCCGTGACATCGTCCTTCATTTGACTGGAAGTTAAACCAGCATCGCTGCTGCTGCTGTTGATGTCGTCCGAACTTTCAGGGTACGTACTCTGGGCTATGCTCACACGAGGCGTTACTTTGACTACGCTGTTGGCCAACGGCGATATCGACGTTTTCGTTTCAGCCGAACGTGGATGTAGCCGATCTGGACTCAAAGCACGTCGCAGGAGGGGCGAGCCGGGCTCAGCAGACTTTGGACGGCTGTACGCCTTTTTCTGGCTATTTGGCGTCGATAGCGAAGCGCCTAGAGTAAAATATTGTTAATTATCAGAGGCTGGAAAAATTTTGTAACGCATAAAATAAACAATGATCTTACCAGGACTGTAAGACTGTGTTGTATTGGAGCTGCCAGGCTGATGGCCTGTGGGAAAGGCAAGGGGACTAGGACTTCGCGTCGGACTGGCCGGGATGGGCGAAGGACTTGGCGTGCGAGCCAGCGGCGAGAGGGGAATGTGTCCGACGGATTTGCGCCGATTCGGCGAGTGTATATTCTTGGCTGCGGTGTGCAGTTTGTGCTTGAGCCCGTGTAACGTGCTGGGTCTCTGGTAATGGGCCTGGCTGCCCAAGTTGCTGGTATTGACAGAGTTACCAGAGCAACTGCCACTGACGCTGACCCCATGGTTGCTTCCACCAACACCACCACCGCTGCCACCGCCGACACCACCGCTGCCACCAATCGAAGTATTCGAGCCAGGTGATGATGAATTTGGACTTGAGCTTGGACTCGAATGAGCTACACAGACGTTACGAAAGTAAATAAGCTTGTAAAAAGGAACAAATCTTTACGTGAATGAGCGCCAATTTCATGTTTACCCGTTGAGTTGTAAGACTCTGCACTGGGACGGTTTGGTGCTCCTGTTGGGGACGGAAAAAGCGCCGATATATCTTGCTGTTGTTGCCTGGCAAATGCCTGAAAGGATCGCGTGGGCGTCACCATTGACGGTGAACAGATTCCAGCTGCCATCTGGAAATTATGATTCAATGATCTTTCCAGCAACGTTGGAAAAATGTTTTTTGGATATCAGTGGATAAGTTTTTCAAATACCACATCATTAAACAATAATAGATGAGGATTATGAATACGTGATGTGTGAAGGGAGAAATAATAAAAAACGAAAATCAAACAAAAGCATACCATAAGGGGTGGTTTGCTGTCACTGGGTAGTATGGGTGCAGACAAGGGAGAACTGATACATAATGGCTGCAATGAAAAATAATAAAAACTGTCCTTAGTGCCGTGTCTAACTATCTTAATGTCGATGTGCAAATAAATGCCTTGTTTGTGGGTATTAGGTATAGTACTATATAAAAATTAAAAAATGAAAGTTTAACGATGAAAAAAAAAAAATCATAATAAATTAAACAGAGCCATAATTGTGCTAAAGTTCCACAGATTCCCTCTGAGTATACCTGCTGCATCTCAGCACTAGCTCGTTTGGAGCTTATCTTTCTGAATAACGAGGTCTTGCGTTTTTTGTCGTTGTGATCTCGCTTCTGTTTGCGCTGGCGCTGATGCAGAGCTCGCCTGGCCATTTTACTCTGGGCAGGCTCCCGCTTGCGACCTCCTGTCTTAATACTGGTATTCTCGAGTGGCGTACTGCGCAAAGTTACGTGATCACCGCCGCTTAACATCAACTGCAGTACTTGCGTGTGATACAGGCCCTGAACTGGCTCGCCGTTTATGTGGGTGATAAGGTCACCGGGACGCAATCCAGCCTCAAACGCCGGGCTCGACGAATCTACTGCCATGACCAAATGGTGCATGGTGTAAAAGTCACTGTCTCCGTAGTAGACTCTAATTGTGTGTACAGTGAATCCAAAACCGTTCGGACCTCGGCGAATGATTATCGGAGGCTTCAAGCTCATTACCAGGGGACTCAGTTCCCGACACGGCGACGTATCACGCGACGAGGCCGTTGATGAACCCCCGGGAGACTCTACAGCTTGATTTGCACCAGCAGCCGGATCTAAAACAAGCAGTACGGGCATTTCAATAAGGAATAATTTTATGAAAAAAAAAAATAAATCACGTCTCAGTAATTAATGTATATTGAATACATACATGAATAATCACCCGTTGGTATTACTAACGAAAGACCGCTGGTGGACGCTGATTTAATTACAGACCGTGATTTTTGCTTACCGGTAGGTAAAAGCGGAAAAGCTGTGAAAGACTCAAAAGAGTCCGTACTAGAGCCGAGCTTATCTTCGGTTGAGTCTCTGTGAGCAGCCATCAGATCGAGCCTGTAAAGAAAAGTTAATATTCAGAGCAACATATTTAGAGAAGAAAAAAATATAAAAAATTACGGTATGCATATACTATAGTAGCAAAATAAAATGCAAAAACGTTGTGTATTTTGTGATACAATTTTAATGTTAAAAGGATAACATAAACAAATAAATAAAAATAAAGCGCAGAAGCAGCCTACTGCGGGGACTCACGTGTTGTTACTATCATCATCGAAGGAAATACTGAACCTGGGAAGCTTGTCTCGCGAATGAACAAATCGCTTTCTCTGGATCTGAGGACTGATGTCATCCGATTCGGTTTGCGAGCTTTCGGGTGTACTGTGATACGGACCAGATGTATTGGGCCCAATGGGAGTAGACAGTGGGGGTGATGTTGTTTTTTTTCCAGTTGACTGAGAGTCTGCGCTCGAGCTCTTTTTTAACTTAACAGCTGATGGGACTAATGATTTTGGAGGCTCGCTTTGCACGACAGGCTTCTCCACAACAATTTCTTCCGTCTTGGAAAGGGTTTGTACCGACGAGACAGGTGAATTTAAAGTCAACTGAGCCACGGTTCTTTCCAGTTCATTTCGAAACAGTTGCTTTTTCAAAGAATCTGGCTCAGTTTCTGACTGGTTCAAATTTGGCAGCTGCGTTTGTGAAATTTTGCGAGACTGCGGCGAATACGAGGAAAAGGAACCAAATAGGGGTGAATCGTCGGTATCGTCCGTTTCATCACCAAGATCGTGGTTATAACGATCCATCCGCGCTGAAAAGATAAATACTCATAATGTTGGTGAGCTATAAATATCAGTGAAATGTAAAAAAAAATTATTTTTACTATCGAAATAACTAGTATCCTCTTCATTTGCTAACTGAGGAACGAACTCGGCTTTCTGTCTTAAGAGGGTGTTCCAATTGACTCCATAGAAATAAGGGTGTTCTTTGACTTCGTGCGAGCCTCCCGTTCCTAAACGTTCTCGAGGACTTTGTTGTAAAAGAGCTGTTATGATGTCTTTAGCTTCCGGTTGTACAGGCCAGTCGTCTTCTTCCGGCCACTCGATATCATCTGAAAAGATTTTTTCAACTAATTATTTCATATTTCATCCCCAATGGAGTATATACCATACTGTTTACATTGGTATATTAACCATTGACTGTGTGAGCAAACAGCTCCTCCGGTGTTTCTCCAAAAAATGGAACGCAGCCAATAAGGAACTCGTACAATATGATTCCCATAGACCACCAGTCAACAGGTTTCCCATAGCCTTGACGGAGAATTACCTCGGGAGCGATATATTCGGGTGTACCGAAAACTTGTTTATCAGAAAATTGTCTGGTATCTTTTTCGATGTAACCCTCGTATAAATTTGTGGCAACTAACATGTATTTAGATGTATTTAGATCGATTATATTGTAGGTAACTTGTATATTTAAAAAATGATACAAAATTCCCAATAATCAATTACTTACGAGACATGAGACCCATTTTGCTTAAACCAAAGTCCGTAAGTTTTATGTGACCAAGAGCTGTAATTAACAAGCTGGAAAAAAAAAATTTGTAACAATGTATTCAAAAATATCTGCGTTTTTAAGATGGATTTCAGAATCAGCAGGCGCTTACTTGTCGGGCTTCAAATCACGATGAACAATCCCGTAACTGTGTAGGTATTCAACGGCTAAAACAGTTTCAGCAAAATAAAATCTTGCCATATCTGGAGGTAGAGGGCCGATGTTTTTCAATAGAGTAGCACAATCCCCGCCTTCAACGTACTCCATTACCAAACATAGGTGTTTCTGCAATAAAAATGTATGATTACAGTAATGCTAATAATATAAAAAGAGCTTTCAACTTTTTTTACAATATGCATATATATATATATATCACAACCT